GGCTGCAGAAACTTCTTCACGGTGGGGAGGTTGCTGATTCTGGTTTGCAGGGCCTTCAGCAGAGGGAAGTTGGCGGTGAGGCTGGGGTCAAACTCCTCCAAGTTGTAGATAAGTTCGACCAGGTGAATGTCAGCCCGGCTCAGCCTGTTGCCAACAAGGTAGTCTTGTCCGTGGCTCTTTAACACTTTTTCGAAGGCCGGGAAATAGCGATTGGTTGTTTTCTCTTTGAGCAAGGCCAGCTGGGCGACTTGCTCCTCAGGTGGATGCGTGAACAGCATGATGATGATTTCGTTCAAATCCACCATGCCTTCCACATACATGTCGATCAGGGCTCTCTCCTTTAAGTCCTTCCCGTAGAGGTTGTACTTGCTGGCGATGTAGTTGAGGATGGCTCTTGTCTGCACCAGCTCCATCCCATCAATCTCGACCATTGGCACTTGCTGGAACATCAGACGCCCATCATTTCTTAACTTATCCAAATCTTCTGCTGATTCCAAAAATATCTCTTCGAACTCTACTCCAGCTGCAGCCAAGAGCCACCGGATGGCCTCCATTCTGCCCCGTCCATCATAGTAGTGCAGCTTGGGCTTCCCCACCATAATAGTAGTCTCTTGCTTTCTAATCAAGTCCTGGCTGCGTCTCTGCTCAGCTCCTCCAGGCCCTGCTAGCATGCATCTTTATTCTTATTGACCATTTGTATTTCTTCTTTTGTGAGTTCAGGCTAATCTTTCATAAATATTACTTTCAGTATTGTTTTACTTCTTTATTTAAAAACTAAGAGTATCATTGTTTCATATCCCTAATTTTCAAGACCCTTCAAAATTTGGCCCTAACCTACTTTTCTAACTTAACACTGTTTAACAAGAGTCACTCTGCTACAATAAGGAATATTTCCTCACTGACATAATTTATCCTATTCATTATTTTCTTGGATTCATTTTAGTCGTGTTTTACTTTTCTTCTGCCTATCCAAATCCTTATAAGGATCCTTATAACCCATTTTATAATAAAGTGGCTCAGATTCTCTAGCCTTTATCAATTTTCTCTTATTTGAATTCTCACAGTACCTAATCTAGTTTCTACCACTAGATTTAGTAGCAAATCATGGACTGCTTTGTTGTGTTACTTATCATGCACCAACTATGTGTGAGGCCATGACTATATAGCCGTGGACAGAGCACAGTCTCTGTCCTTGTGAAGTTTATAGTGTAGTGATGATGCATTTATTTCCATTTCTTTGTTTATTAGTGAAGTTGAACTTCTTTTCATATGTCTCTGTACGTTTGAAGCATGCACACATTTTTAGGTATGTAGTTATGCGTCTCCAACTGGATTGTAAGATCATTGAGGGTATGAACCATGTTTTGTACTTCTCTATTCTTTAAAACGTTTAACTCAGTTCTGAGCATATAAATATTACTAAGTATATACAGCTCTACTGGTGTAGTAAGAAAAGTCAGAGGCTGTGGAGTTACATACCTAGCCTAAAATTGTAGCTCAAGGCCTTATGAACTAACCGCAATGTTTGCAAGTTATTTAGCCACTCTCATCCTACGTCCTCATAAAGTAAATATCTGCTTCATAAGGTTTTCATGTGGGTTAAATGAGATAATCTGTATAACACAAAGTATTTAACATAATACCTGGTACAAAGTAAATGCTTATTAAAAGGTACCTATTATTATAATAATTTGTTTAACCTCTGCAGCTGGAAACTGATTCAACAACCTTTCATTTCCCTAATGCCTTTCATTTAAGCAGTTATCAAATTCTGCTTAGTTTACTTCAATTATTGTGTCAATTTAGCCTCTCCTTTTAATCCTCATTGTAACCCAGAATAAGAAATGCATTTTATATTGTGGGTTAATATATACTATGTTTATTTATACATATCTGAAACAAAACTTTTATGGAATAATATTCATTGTTACGACGTGTGATGCACTCTGGTAATTTTTGTTTTGTTCTATTGTCAACTTTTATAAAGCTGGTAACAGCCATTAAAACTGATCTCATAACATACAATCTGAAGAGATTTTTGGCATCTGTCTAGATTTTTGGCATCTGTGAAATTTGGACTACCACTGAACAAGATAAATGTTCAAGTGAAAGTTTTCAATGAAATAGTTCAGAGCTTATTTAGATTGCACTCTCTTTATTCTCTATTAGTTACATATAGTTAGATTTACCTATTCTAAGTCTGGTTTTGCTGCTCAAGGTAGGAGTGTTCGATTGTTCCTATTTCAGAGCTGGTATAGAATAAGATTACTCAGTGGTTGAGCCAGAGATTCCCACCTTGCAAGGCAAGAATTTCTCATCTACTTCATGTATATATTATTTTCTTAGGACAGAAATTGAGATACATGGATTAAAAAGTTATTAGTATAATTCTCGAAGAGTGGCTTAAAAAAAACTTCCTGGGAAATTTTTAAACATTTTAAAAAGTAGGAAGCATAGTGTAATGAAACCCTATTACCTAAATTCAGCTTCAGTAATTATCAATATTATGTCAGTTCCAAAGGAATTTTTGAAAGTATTTTTAAGGGACACATAATTCCCTTCCTTAATATAGATAGATGATTTGCTTTTAAGAAGTGATGTATGAGCCTTAGTGTACCTGGCTTCAGTACTTACTACCTATTAATTTTATTTGATCCTTGTAAGAGGAGTAAATAATTACATGCCATGAGGGAGTAGGGGTGGTGTAGAAATTTTCTTCCCCATTTGGGGATTTTCCTGATAACCTTCTACAACACTAGACCCTGCCATCTTACTTGAAATATTTCAACAGCCTCTTTTACTATCTTGCTACCACTTACTCCATACCACCTGCCTTACTGCCATTACACTAATCCCTAAGAATGACTTGAGGGGAGGAGAATCTCATTACATTTATCCTTTGTTTAAAACTTCATTGGTTTTTCTTCCCTACCAGCAGAGTAAAATCCCAAATCACAGATTTTCATTCAGAACCTGGCTCCAGCCTATCTTTCTAGCCTTCTCTTCTACTGTCTGTCTCTTCTCTACCATTTTTTAGTTTTTTATTATTCCTAGAATACTTAATCCTTATTTTAGGACTTATTTTTCAAGATCCAATTTATATATCAGTTTGTGAATGAGGCCTTTTTAACTACCCCAGAAAAAAGTTTCTTAGCTTGTTTTTGTTTGTTTGTTGTTTGTGTGTGTTTGTATGTGTATGTAATGCCACCAAACTGAGTTATATTAGGTTTACCCCCCTCCTCAGCCTCAATTAGACAGTGATCTCTTCCAGAGCAGGGGTTATATCTTATTCTTCTTTGTCTCCTAAACACTTCTTTGATGCCCATACATACTAGTCGTCCAGTAATGGTTTGTTGAATGAATTTATTCATACTTTTAAAATTTCAGAATCTAATTCCAATATAGGTTCTCTCCCGATAGGAAGAGTTAATCAAAGTTTGTTTTTTCATTTTGGTTTTTAGTACTTTGTTTTTTTTCTCCCTTCCTTGGGGGACTTTTGTAAACATTTCTTTTCTTTTCTTTTTTTGTAAATTTTGTTTAAATTTCTAAAGAGAACCTAAGTTCCATAGCTTTTTCCTTAAGGGGAAATTTACTTTGGTAAACTAATGTAAAGTGTCCATTGTCAATAATCCATAGTAAAGGTAAGTAAAATCTACTTCCAGTATACTTAGTTTTTTTCTGTTTGTGAGGTGGAATAGATTTGTGCTGTAAAGCTAATAGTAGTCTTGACTAATTTTTTATATATTTCAGCTCATGGAATGCTGTGTAAATGCCCTGGTGACATCATTTAAGGAGACTATCTTAGCAGAATGCCAAGGCATGATCAAGCGAAATGAAACTGAAAGTAGGTAAAACATAACATAAAGTTATCATGATTTTTTAAAAGGGTATCTTTGAAGCAAATCACTTAATAAATTGCTGTTAGATCATTTTTTTACACATAGGTATATTTGTTAGAGTGAACTGTGCTTAAAGAAAATGATAAAATATCTAACACACAAGCACTGCTAAGGAGTTTATAAATTTAGGTATTAATACTTGTGTGTGCATGGTAAATTTCCATTTTTTTCTCAAAAGCAGGACTCTACTTTTAAAGGCCAATTTAAATTATAAACATATGTTATAAGGTAGAACTAGGTATTTGACTTTTGTGTGGAA